AAAAAAAAAAATATCGTGGTTTATTCAATGCCTTTTACATTTGGACACGTAGCTTATGCAGTTTTAGATTTTGGTTACTGCCTTGCCAAAATAAGTGTTGCTATATTTCAAACTGGATTTTTTTTTTCCCAAAAAAAGTCTTATTTAAAAAAGAAACAAGTTAAAGGCATATTTCTAAGTCAGAGCCTATATTTTGGTGTAAGACTTGGGAGGGATATTTTTTACTTCACATTGAATATAGCTGGGCTCCCAAGAAGTTTGGATGATGGCCATTGGGTGTAGGTGATGAGTCGTGACAGCCCATCCAGGGCCTTGGATTTGGACTGACACAGGTGAATTTCTTATGCAGTTAGCTGATGAAAACTTTTGATTGGGGTTCTGACTTTGAGTTTATAAAAACTTTGCATTTATTCCTTTCCACAAAAAGTGCATTCCAGGCATTGCAAAGTCCATATGATTAATTTTGTGTGGAGCACTGGCTCACATTATTCAGCTCTTGTTTGTGACCCATCTCACAGATTATGAGACTTTAATGACATGTATATAAAAGTTTTTCACATTGAAAGTATACAAATATTTGAAAATAAAACCTTGTTAGCTTGACACTTTACAGAAATAAAAACCTAACAATCTTAACATGGACAGAACATAGATCTCCCTCTGCCTTTTGATAGATTCTAGTGAGTGAAGAGCAGGAGCTATATACCTGAAGGGAACATGCTGTGTCACACCAAAGAGGGGACTTTTGCAAACTCCTGTAACCTAGGTCAGATTCTTTGGGCAAGGCCCATTTGCCATCATTAACTAGATTCTATCAGAGGTGCTGGTGACCCATGTCGAGTGTACTTACTACACGTGTCAAGCTGATGAAGTGGTTGTTGTAGAGCTGTGTGGCTTTTACTCTAAGGGAAATGTGTCAGGGCTTCTCAACACTAAGGGAAAGGGTTAGGGCTTAGACCAGTGTTAAGTCTGGTGCCAAACTTTAGTGGAATTCAAATTCACATGATCTGGATTTAATTCACAGGTTAACCTAATAGAGTAATCCACTTTGCTCTATTGAATTGTCTTAAAATTTCCTGTTTCAAACAGCTGCATTACTTGATTAAAACAATGTTAAAATTCTGTTTTGTCTCTGCTTTAATGTTAAAGTTAACCTAAGTTTTGGGKTTTTTTTTGTTTTGTTTTGTTTTAGGATATTGATGTGCCTCACACATGCTAGGCAAGCATTCTGCCACTCAGCCACAACCCCAGCCCAAGTTTTTTAACAAAAACTTTTAATTTTATAAGTTCAAAACCTTGAAATCCCTGTAGTGGCTGTAGTTTGTTCTTTCTGTAGGGATATATATTAGTCCTACAAACAAAGTGTTGCAGATTTCATTGGTTATTGATTCGTCTTAAGTTCTAGCTGTAGTAGCATGAGTTGGCTATGAACTGCAAGTTGCCCCCCCTGCCCCCCAATGTTTTGTATTGTGTGGTGTGGGAGTCAAATCCAGAGCAAACATTCTGTTGCTGAATGTTTASTCCTTGTCCCCAATGTCAATCCAATAACAAGGACACACTTATGAGAAAAAGGAAGAAGGTTTATTGCTTGGCTATCAAGGAAAAAACAGGACTTCTGTCCCTTCCAAGGCTATGATTCTGCCCATTTGAACAGGAGGCTTTTATAGAGGTAATTCAGAAAAATTAGAGATTAGGGAGAAGTTAAGGGAAAAGAAGATTTGGGGAAAGAAAAGGTAAGTTTCAAAGCCACAAAGAATAGTCAGAATCAAGTGAATCTTTGTCATTACAATTCTACCAGAATTGAGCTGTGTGGCCCAGTGCCCCCTTTTTTAAATTTTTAAAATTCTATATGTGTAATTCATATTACACATACAACACAATTTTTCAAATCTATGGTTGTACACAGTAAGTATACTCACACCATTCATGTCTTCATACATGTACTTGATTGTGTCCATCTCCTTCCACCATTTCTAACCTGATGCCCTCTCCCACCCCTTTGCCCTATCTATAGAGTTCATCTCTTCCTTCCATGTTTCCCCTCTCTACCCCATTAYGAATTAGCTTCCTTATATCAAACATTGGGCATTTGGTTTTTTTGGGATTGACTGACTTAGCATTGTCTCCTCCAACTCTATTTACCAGCAAATGTCATGATTCTATTCATTTTGAGTCTTGCTAAATTGCCCAGGAATGTTTATTGTTAGGGGTGGTGAATTAGGCATTTAATCCCAGGGTGCTTTCTTCTGAGCTACATCCCCAGCCCTGTTTTGTTTTGTGTCAGGGTTTCCTTAAGWTTCTGAGGCTGGCTTTGGAATTTGCATCCTCTTGACTTGGCCTCTCCAGTGTCTGGAATTAACAGGCATGTGCCATGCCAGTTAATTCTTGAAATCTGGTGCTTTCTAGGGAATTCAGATTCCAAATACCTATATAACTGGGACACAGCATGAATCTCCAAGAATGAAGGGATGGGGAATGACTGCTTTTCAAACAGGCCCTTCTGAAGTTGATAAACTTGAGAATGGGTGGGAAGGTGTTTCCTTATCCCGTGCTTCCTCTTAGGGGATATGGAGATTGGGCCTTGAGCTGCTGCTAGTCTTGATTCCTGCATCCACTCACACGTAGTGCTGAGTTGTGTTTATTTGGTATTGGGGATTGAGCCCAGGGTGTTTAATCACTGAGCTACACCCCAGCCCTTTAGTCTCACTAAACTGCTTCTCCAACTTGTGATCCTCCTATCTCAGCCTCCTGAGTCACTGGAATTACAGAGGCATATGCCACTGCACCCAAATGAGATGAGGTTTGAAACCAAATAAATTTGTTCTGCGTGCAGTTCACTTACGACTTTTTTTTTTAACAAAGCAAACCATATTGAGATTACGGGGATGTTGCTCAGTGGTTGAGTACCTCTGAAGTCAGTCCCCAGTATACTCCACCCCCTACACACACAGACACACAAAAAATTTGCTGACAGCTTTGCAGATAATCCTTGCTTATCAAGTTCTACCTGTTTAATATTCTGTAGTGGGGCTGGGGATGTGGCTCAAGCAGTAGYGTGCTTGCCTGGCATGCGTGCGACCTGGGTTCGGTCCTTAGCACCACATGCAAACAAAGATGTTGTGTCCTCCGAAAACTAAAAAATAAATATTAAAATTCTCTCTCTCCCCCCTCCTCACTCTCTCTTAAAAAAAAGAATATTAATATTCTTTTTTTTAATGTTCTATTTTTATACCTTTATTTTATTTATTTATATGTGGTGCTGAGGATTGAACCCAGTGCCTCACACATGCTAGGCAAGCGCTCTACCACTGAGCTACAACCCCAGCCCCTATATTAATATTCTATAGTAACCCCAAAATGCAAAGTTGGCCTGTCTATTGTCTTGACAATTCTTAAATTCCCACTAGTGTAGTGGTATGTAGTCTGTAATCCCAGCTATTGAGGAGTCAGGCAGAATTGCAAATTTTTGAGACCAGCCTGGGCAATTTAGCAAGACCTTGTCTTGAAAAAGGACTGGGAATGTAGATAAAGGCAGGATGTAGATTCAGTGTAGATCAATGGTAGAGCACTTGCCATGTCCCAGCTTCTAGGATTGTTCAATCCCCGGCACCATGAAAATTATAGCCTTTCTCCCTGCTCCAAAGTTCCCAAGAAGTTTCAGTACCAAGAATAGTACTGCAACTTTTGAGACCAGCCTGGGCAATTTAGCAAGACCCTGTCTCAAAAATTAAAAAGGACTGGGAATGTAGCTCAATGGTAGTACAGTCTTGTTAATTTCCAGTACTTTGTAGAGCTTGATTTTTTAAAAAGACACTATAGAGTGACGTGAGTAAATTACTTGCCAAAAGTAACACGCTGCCTTGTGTGCGTGAGTCCCACCGTGAGTCATTGTTAACAGGATGGAAGCTTGAGGTTTATATCCACCTGCAACAGGGTCCTGACCCAGCTGAGGGCCTTTGGGGAGCTAAATCTCCATGAATCATGGTGAAAAAATTGAACACCAAAGCATGTGCTGTGATGTGGGCTTGATTACTATAGAGGAATTATTCTCATGAAGAGTGAGYAGCTTTGGCCATGGGCTCCCCACTGGGATGTACCACAGGTATTTTGTCACAGCAATGGAAAACTGACTTAATTTCTGAAAAGTGAAAGCAATTCCCATGTCTAAGATGGGAATGTGGCTTGGGGAAGATGACAGGCCCTCATAGGCAAGAAAGAATTTGTATTCCCCTGCTACCCGGGAGATGAAATTGCTATGGGAACAAGAACAGGGGTGCTGTGTGACTGACCCAGTAGCAGCCACGGAGAGAGAGAGGACAGATGAATGTGTACTTGAGCCTRGACAGGTTGGGTCCTAGGCAGCCATGTCTATCCAAGGCAGTGTCA